GCAGAAAAAGCAGCTTAGAGCCACACAAACTGCATAAAAATAAATCAGCAATACAGGCTACGTAAGTTTCTTCAGAGATCTTAAAACTAAAGTAAAGTATTGTCCCATACACTTACTCCACAATATTGTAGCTTAATGAGGAATTTATTTAAATGAAGCCTATAAAGAGGTCCCCAAATGTAAAAAATCACAAGAGAAACATCTCAGTTGTTTGTAACAGAATAAAGAGCATTGCAGTTTTAAGATGCCTTGCATCCCACAACAAGAAGTGTATGAAAGTCCTGGTGGATGTTGATGGATTACCTGAGAATATTTGTCCTGTGCACTTTGTCACTGTACCACTGCTGTAATCTTGCCTGGACTCAACAGAAGGGCTGGCAGTGTGACAGAAACTGGAATAGAACTATTCTCCAATGCCAGAAAGCATTTGGACTCTAGAAGGGATCCTGAAATAGTGAGTTTTCAGACACCATATTTTTAAAGGCAGATTTTCTTTTTAAAAGGAATCTGTTATCAGTCATTCAAAAATTATATATGATTGCACATTGTATTAAGGACAGAGTAAAAACTATCATAATGTTCTGAGATACCTCTGAACATCAGCTTCCTTAAATTGAATAGTGTCATAACTGTAGAATTTTTGTTATCTGCTTACATTTTTCAGTACAGCAACAAAAGTCCCTAACTTTTCTGGGAGAGAAGGGTTTCAAAGCCTGGGTATCCCTCTGCAAAATCATTTTTAGAGTTCACTTTGATTAAGACATTAACTTCCTCTTATAAAACCAAACAAACAGAAAAAAAACAAACAAAGAGGAAAGTCCTCCCATTCTGTGATTGGGTAGTAATGATTGTAAAATTTGTCTTTATTCATCTAATCCTCTACCTGAAAGACTATTTAAGTGACTGTTTATTTTCAGGGAGAGCTGTTTCTGCTGTGTGCTAAATGTCACATTGCTTTTAAGGCCAAGCAGCTCATGTTTTTAGAAGAGCTCTATTGTCTGTCATTTATTATCATCCTCTTTTTAATCATTGTTAACCTTGAGGTTAATTGAATGAATTGGTGTAGCAGTATCTACCCTAGAGATTTCACTCTTTTCCTAATTTTTTCCTTTTTTCCACTCTTCTCTTGAGAACTTTCCCTACATTATGCTGGTATTCTTCCAAGGGGAGTCCATGTAGTTACAGCAAACCAGAATTGCAGGAAGGTGTCAGTAGAAAGGAAGCCAAAGGAGAGAAAATCTCATCTGTTAAGACTGCTTTATTTTAAGTTTTATTTTTTCTAGATTATATTTAAATGTAGTTAAATGTTATTAGTGGTATTTTTATCCTTAAAGTTTGAATCATAATGAAATCATAATTTACCCAAAGTATAAGAAAAAAGAAAATTTGTTGTGATAGATAGCAGTCCTGTAGACAGTCAAGTCCACTACAGGTGCAAGTGATATATCTCCATGGACTGTGACAGAATTTTAGCCACTCATAGTGATAAGAAATTTGACTGTTACTATTTAAAAGTTCAATAACAAAATGATAAATGGTATGGATAACTTTAGGTTTATATTTGAAAAGTGAGAAGTTGATGATAATAATTTTCATAGGGTTGACACTGAGTCTAGACTTGATGAAATCACATTCCCAGACATACTGTTGTCAAGCCTAAGGCCTGGAATTATAGACACTGTAAGGGTGAAAATGTGCAAGCTCTATGAGAGTGCCAGATTGGAGTTTCACTTTTGCTGAACTCTTGACTGAAGGGGGAGGACATGAAATATGTGGGAGCACTGATAGGAAAAATATTTCTAAGGGAAGGATCAGTGACCACTAGTGGAGTGAGGAGTTATGGCACGGTTGTAATTAGGAGCTGAAGAATGAGTTAACAGTCATGAAATTCAAATTTTTATTTCCCAAAAGAGGGAAATAAAAGACACTGGATGTCAGAGAAGCAGAATGAAATAAAACTGAGGGCACATAGTTTAAGACATTTTATAACAGCACATAACTAACCTATGGAAACTCTTTCAGAAAATACAGTGATTAGAAAGCTTAGTAAAAACAACAGCAGTAAACATTTATATTTACAGGTGTCTAGTTCAAAGTTAAGAAAATAAAGCTTTAGGCTTTCAGTCATAAGCCAGCCTGTCACTGACAGAGCATTTCCCTTAAGGACTCATTATTTACAAGGTCTGATTTAGCTTATTGAAACTGAAGAGGTGGACATTATACAGTCAGTTTATTCCAGTCAGGCAATTCCCATATTGCATTATGTTGGCACAGGAAACAGAATCTTCAAAAAAGAATTTCTATCTGGACTGGAGGCCCAGGATAAGTACACTCCACAACCTTTGCTTCCTTATTCATTCAGTTTGGACTGATACCAAAAGATTTCTGGAACTTTTTGTTGTCTGCCAGTAAAGAAATGATAGACATAACCCTTCAAAGCATGCTGTGGTTTTTTAGTATCTCATTAACCTGTTCGGCTTGGGAGGAATCGTTAGAACAAAGCCACAAGTAGCCTCTGTAAAGGAATGGGGAAATTATAGTTGTGTGCACTACTGTGCTGCCAAGGCTTGTCTGTGACATTTGACACTGACCAGCACAGAGCTTCTGGCATGCCTTTGAGAATACCTGCAGTAGTAGCTACATCCCTTAAACTCACGAGTATTTCTGCATGAATGAGTGCAAACTATTGAACTCAGAAGTAAAGTGGTTTCAGAGAAGTTGTATGACTGTGTTATTACGCCACTCAACCCCAGCAGCTATTTTCAGTGAGGCTTTTTGTGGGGTAATGTGGCTGCCTGACTTCTGGACTAGAATTAGATTACTTCCAGCATTTTAGGACAGCAGACAGTGCAAACATGATGCCATACTGCTCATGTGGATCTGTCCCAAGTGTTCACAGCTGTTCATGAGTTGGACATAAACAGAAATGTGTCTACAATCCCCTTGAAAATATCCTATTGTGTTTTTACAGCCACTGTTAGTCATACAGCTTTTTCAGGAAATCAATGAAGCCAGATAAATCTGTAGAAACTTGAATTTGTGGACTGAGGAAATGCCTCTTCATTGACCTGAGTGCTTATTTGTTGTTTTGAAATTTCTTTTTCTCTCTTTGTCAGAGTGCTGTCTGATGATGAAGGGCTGGGGGAATTTTACGTTAAAATAAGAATCCAAGATCTCTTTGAAAGCCAGATGTAATATTAGCATCATACAGCTCTGAGTAGTTCTTGAAAATGGTTAAAATCTTTTCTTGAGGCAAAGCATATTTAATTATTGCTCCCAGAGCCCTCAAGAAGCAGTATACAAGGAGAATACCGATACTTGCATTTTGTAAGAAAAAACCCTGTGTTTCCAGAGTATCAGACAAAATCCTCAAGTAGATATGATTCTATATCTTGTTTTGTAGTCTCTCAGAGAAGTCTAAAAGAGGAGATGATATTAGGATGGTCACATGTAAAGAGAGTGCCAGATGCAACTATTTAATTTGGCCCTGTATAACAGAACATGACAACACTCAAAGATAAGAAGAAACTGTTTTAAAATTGAATTGCTGTACCATTTATACATGATAAATCATTTAAAGAAGGATTACTATAGATTCCAATTAGTCTTGTCCATTAGTAATAAAAAATACAATTAAAGCTAAAAGACAACCATTGTTAAATCAGGCAGGTAAGAAAATAGATTACCTAATCAACATTTAATTGGTTCACAACAATCTCATGTCTCTATGCTATCATTGAAGCAAAGAACTTAGTAATTCTTTAGAAATATGTCAGAGTTAGAAGAATGAAAGTGTCTAAATTAATTGAAATTATGGAAAAAATCTAATTTTGTTAAAGCCAACTGTATTATACAGTTCTTTGTGCTGTGAAAGTAGGTCGTATTTTCCTCTCAGACATCAGCAATAGATACTATTGGAAGCAGGATACTGGACCAAATAAGAGAGATGCCAGTAACTTCTCCTGCCCTTTTCTGAGCATTCTTTCTAACTGGGCTTGCTCCAAAGCTTGCTTATAATTCTGAGGTTGAATCAGACCCTTTATAGGCTCTCACTGGCTTCAGTTCTGCTTGAGGAGATCTTCCAACAACTGAAGCCACCTGCTTGGACCAGAAGTCCACTTCTCAAAGCAAGTGCTGACGAGTTCCTCATGCTTATACATCAGGCGTGCATGCTGGCTGTCATTTATTTGGTTTTATTACTTCTTTTAGAATAAATTGGTGACTAATGTCTGTGCTATCCCTTTGCATCTCTTTCTAATCCAATCTTAGATTGGATTAGACTCCTGTACACAGCAGAAAAGTCAGTACACAGTCATATAACCAGAGAATATTTATTAATATAACTAATTAATATAATTCATTTTGGTTTAGGCTGGTTTTTCATGGGTTTTATTTGAAGTGAATTTTAGGTATTGATGATTACATTGAAATGTGCCTAGGTTTTGCATAAGTTCAGAATGCTATTTGGCAAACTAAATTAACACATGACTTGCTCACATTTGTAGCCTTTATCAGTAGAAACTACCTACTGCTTAGTCTTAATTTTCAGAGAATTCAGGGATGATGGTGACTGAGTAAACAAATCTTACAATACCTTTGAGTAAACGGCATGTCTTTATGTGCTTGGAATAGTTAGTACGGGAAATCTGTTTGTCCCTTCATTAATTACTTATAATAAAAGTAAAATATGTCCAGAAACAGTTTGCAAAAGGTTATTGCCAGTCTGACTTCGTGTTTGGGCCATTTTTTTTATCTGTGGGTCAGGATCTGCGTATCCTGGTGTTGGCTGTAGTCCACTCTAGAGTTTTTTTACCTCATCAGAATCCAACCACAGACACTAATCACTTCATGGAAATCACAAGATCTTTATGCCTTGAAGGAAGAAAACAAACATTAGAGAAGGAAAAACATTGGGTAGGGCTGCACGAATGGTTTGAATTACGATAAATAGGGCATGCATGTGACCGGTCACTAACAATAATTTCATTTGGTTCACCTAGAAAAAAGAAGAATGGAGAAGAAGAGCAGCCAAAGCCCTCCCTCAGTAATCAATACCGAATTGTTACACCCACATTCCAGTACAATATGGACTACAAGAAAGTTGGTAAATGTATTATTATAAACAACAAAAATTTTGAGGACAAAACAGGTAATGTTCTTCCTTTGAAGATACACATTAGAGAGCATAATCAATATGCATTTTAGTTTTAGGACATGGAATTTTAATGAATGTATTTATTCTTTCTGATAAATGGTTGTTCCTAAACTTTTCCTGTTCTTTAAAACTTACATTAGAGTAACTCTTTTCAACTTCCTTGCAGTATATGTTTCAAAGACCATGTCTCCTTGCTCTACCAACTTCAAACTAAACCTTTATCCCAGAGTTTAAGACTGTGTTGTTAAAATTTGAACTTTGGCATCTGCAACCCATGTTATAAATTCTCTGTCCCTGAGCTACAGCTATGAGCTACAAAAGCTAATAGCTGTACCTGTGCTCTGTTCACACTCCTGCATTTAACTTTTCAGACCACATATGGTTTCAAAGTGGACAGATACTTGTGTTATAATGAGCTTTATAGGATTTTTCCTATACACTTGGCAAACACACGGATTTGTTTTCTGCAAAGATTATATATCAGTTCTTTTTATTGGGTATCACAGGGACTCTTTTCAACAGTTTTTCCATGGGGTGCTGTATGCCTGTGTTACACTGCAAAACCCAAAGGAGATGAATCATCCACAGAGGTCTATGTTGCAAGGTGCTGGAGGCAAGCCAGCATTTTTCAGGATAAGATATGTGTTTACATTGACCGTTGCATTATTTTTAAAGTCTCACAATTTGTTCTCTTTGCTGTTAGAGGATTGTTTTAAAAACATGTCACCATGACATTGTTTAGGTTTACCAATTATAAACCTAAAAATTTACCTTTGAACACGTGAATTATTTTGAGTTGTGTAATGTGCAGTCAACCGTATTCTTTGTTTTCCGGCAGGAATGGGTACACGCAATGGCACTGATAAAGATGCTGGAGATCTGGCTAAGAGTTTTAAAAACTTAGGTTTTGAGGTTTATACATACAATGACCGAAGCCGTGATGATATGGAGAAATTACTGAAGCAAGGTAAAAATTTAGAATCATAAAATAATTTAGAATGGAAAAGACCTCTGGAAGTCACTGAATCTTCTACCTTCTCAAAGAAGGTTACAGTAGAACAGATTGTTTAAGCCCCATACATACAATTTTCTGTATAGAAGGATTTGGTTTCTGAAGGGATTAGGCTTAATTCCCTACCTCTTTCTCCAACATCAGTTTAGAAATGCACAGTGTTCTTGTGATCACCTATCCTGGGTGTTTGGTGAGGAGCTTTGTCATATTAGATAATGAATCCAGCCTGTTGATTCCAGTGGGCCAGACTCAGAGTCAAGTGAAGGATGTATCCTTGTATTCAAGATACTCATCACATTGTAAAAACTGGGTTGTGTCATCTTTATCCACTCCTTCCCGTGCCTTCCAGTAGAGGCCCAGTGTATATTTAGTCTCAAAAAAATGTGTTTGCTAAATATAACTGTCATTTAAAATGTTGCTGCCTTTCAACTAAGAACTATTTGATTCATAGCTGCTGAGGAGAATCACAGCGATGCCGCTTGCTTTGCCTGTATCCTTCTGAGCCATGGGGAAGAAGGACTCATCTATGGCACAGATGGACCCATGGCTATCAAGAGTTTGACCGCACTGTTCAGAGGAGACAAGTGTAAAAGCCTTATAGGCAAACCCAAATTATTTTTCATTCAGGTAATAGCCCTAAGGTAAATATAGAATCCTACCTGCTGCAGTGGGGAGAACATGCTCTGTTGGTTGTCTGCTCTAGAAGAGCCTCGTAGGTTAATTTACTGAATGTCGCTGGAGGTGTTGGGAAAAAAATGTGTTGAGAGAAGTTGTGTATGGGTGACTTGTATTGTTTGTTTTTAAAAGGTAATTTATATACAAGTTTCACAGATGTAACGAACAATATCACTGTAATTTTGTACATGGTTTCTCTTGGTAATATATGAACTTCAAAGCAGAAAGATAAACTCCTCTTGTGCAGAGACAGCTAAGGACAGTACATGATTATCAACAAGAATAATACTGTCCATGTTTCTTTGAATTATGGTTGCCTCTACAGATTACTGAATTCTGCTGAAAGAAATAGTTTTCCCTTCCTCAGTAGCCTAAAAATTTATATTGCATTTTTAAATTATCATATAGTAATTGCATATTAGTTAAACTTGTGAAGACCACTGTTTCAAACTATTAACTGACATACCACAGGGATGAAGTCTCTTTTTTATCATAGTATTATATATGTATAGGACTTGCAGCAGATGTGGTTTTACCTAAGGTGTTCCATCAATTAATCCTCAACCTCAAAGTGAAAACTGTGTCTATTTTAGACTCTTCATACTACTAAAATGATGTTTCTTTTAATTATAAGTTTGGAATGATTAATTCATAGCCTTTCAGATTATTCTAATAAAGGCAACCAACCCTGTTACATAAGTCAGTCAGACTGTTATTCTTTTGCAAGAGCTGTCAGTCAAACTACTGATCAAGAGCTGAAACTTAACAACCTGGACTGTTGTCCCAGTGTGCCCTTTAGCTGAATGCATGATTAAGAGAAAATTAAGAATAAAAAAAAAAATGGAAAAATATTAAAAATGCAATATACTTGAAATGGGTGGTCAAACACTAGAACTAGTTGCCCACACTGTAGAGTCTCCACCTGTGGAGATATTCCAAACCCAACTGTACATGCACTTGGACAGCTGTAGCTGTCCCTGGTTGAGAAGGGGGGGATGGGACTAGATGATCTCAGGATGTGATTTTGTGAAATGCAGTGCTTCAGCAGTGCATGTCAGGAACCAATGACAATGTGTAATCCACTGTAAATGGCCAGAAGTCCCATTGCACAAGGCATTATGTAATAACTGAGTTCTGAGAATGACTCTAGACTAGTAAAAATAATCATGGTTAGCATAAATTAATGCTCCCCTAGGGCTTTGACAAACAACTGATCTTCAACACCTTTACCTCCCTTTACTGTATGGGATGTATATTTTAAAATGATTAAGCCAGTAACTTTATCACTGAACAATTAGGTATCCCCCAGAATTGCATTTCTGCTTCTTATACATGCAAAGTACTGCTTAAAACTGAATCTATTAAAAATATTGATGAATACTTATTGGTATAACAGTTTTTTTCTCCTTATTGGACAAGTTCTATTTGTCTTCTCTGCTTTCAGGCATGCAGAGGCTCTGAATTTGATGAAGGTATACAAACTGACTCTGGACCTGCAAATGACACTCTGGAAACAGATGCCAACCCGAGATACAAAATCCCAGTAGAAGCAGATTTCCTGTTTGCATATTCCACAGTGCCAGGTAAAGAAAAGAGGGTCAGGGTGGAGATAGAAGCCAATCATCCAAACTGATTGGATTGTAGATGGACCTTCATTGATGACACATTGTACATTGATGGACAAAACACAAAGGCCCAGTGTACATTGGGCCAGTGTGTTGTGTCCACCCCTTTTACACTGGCTGCATAGGAAAGAGGAGATTACAGACAGCAAAGGCAATACTGTTTTCTTGGAATCCTGTCCTTCCATGTCCCAGTTTAGTAAGTGTGTTGAATATGTGATGAAGGCAGGATGAGGAACTGTTACAGCACAAAACTTATTCTTGGAGGAGAAACCCGTGAAATTTTACTTCTCACAGTTTCCCAAATGCCAAAATGTAAAATGGTGCTTTAGTAGTGTGAGGTTTGGAGAGTTAATACACATTATTCTCAACTCTAATGAAGTAGGGTATGTGACACAAGTGATAAGAGTTAAGCTTTCTTTGTATGGATTTTTAATCTTTGCCCAGAATCTTTCACACAAAAGAGCAAAAATAATCCCCTGTACTTTCTTACTTGTCTTTCCTGTAAGGTTATTACTCCTGGAGAAATCCTGGAAGAGGCTCCTGGTTTGTGCAGTCTTTGTGCTCTGTGCTAAATGAGCATGGAAAACAACTTGAGATCATGCAGATCCTCACACGGGTCAACTATGTGGTTGCCACCAATTTTGAATCCCAGTCGGATGATCCACGCTTCAGTGAGAAGAAGCAGATTCCCTGCGTGGTCTCTATGCTCACGAAGGAACTTTACTTCTGAAAGTGTATTTTAATGCAGCCAGCAATGAAAGATCAGGATATGGTGTTGGGTGGAGATTTGACTATAAACAGGAGTCAATACATTTTTAATAACAGATATGTAATAACACTAGATTTTTATATCATATAAGCTCAAGTATCTGATGGATGGACAATATGCAATATTTTAAAGAAGTAAATGCTGGGGGACAGCTGTTAGGAAGAAGAATATGGTTGACTGCACATTACACAACTCAAAATTATGGTATCTTGATTTCCATTACTGTGGCTGTCACGATATTTGGCTGCTGAACAAGTTCTGAGAATCACCTTCCTGACCCATAAAGGTTTTTCCCAGAAAGCAGATTGTAAATTAAGAATAAAACAAAAGTTCGTGAGACTCCTTCTCTTTTACTACTAGCTCATGGAACCATTATCTCCTCAGAAATTTCCAAAGACCATCATATTATTGGGTATGTCCAGTGACAAACAGTTTGTAGCTATTTAAAAGGGTGTTTCTTAGTCTAATTTCCTTTTAATGAACATTAGTAATGAAGGCTAATGGTTGCTCTGTGCTTAACCTGGAAGTCAATTTACTTAGTTGTCACTCTAGCATAAGATGAATGTATTAAAAAATCAATATTTATAGGTGATTTACCTGAACAATATGGAAATGTAACAAATAGAAAAATGAAATTCAAAACCCTTGTAAAAGATTGGCAAACTTTAATTGGTATTGCAGTTTTTCTGCTTGCAGAAAGGAGCATGTCTGCTTGTTGATTCAGAATTTTTGAACCCTCAGAAGGTTAATGGCAAGGTTTTGTTGTAAAACATTAAAATTTAATGTTGAAATGATAGAATTATATGTTCCATTAACAAATGTATGTTTAGATTTAACTTCTATTTGTGAGGAGTTTTGCCAAAACTGTAAATGCTTACTTGAATCAGAAACCAGAAGTGCCTTCTTAGTTACTGTATGGTCTTGATTTTGTGATTCAGAGTTACGTTGGTGATGTTTATATTCCTACTTTTTATATACTCTTTATAGTTGGTAGGTAGCTCACAAAAGTGAATTTAATTATTTGGTTAAACTGATAAATGATGAGTTGTTCACTCTTTTCCCAGTTAATGTACTCTATACTCTTTTGCAATCCTCTAAGAAAGTAAGTACATACTATTAAGGCCAAGTTACAAAATTGTTAAGTTTATTTTCTTACAAATACTGTGACATAGTGAGACATATATTTTTTTCATAAGTCAAATTTACAGTTGTTTAAATTAAATAAATGGTTGTTTTATGAACATATTGAGCATGACATCAATAAAGGCCTTTTTTAAAAAAATTTCCTGTGAATATCTGCATGTTTGTCACTCAGTCTAGTGAAGTGAAACCAACCAAAGTACATCCCAGTACCTTTGTCATTCAAGAATGCAGATAGTCTCTGGCATCTTTTCAAGAGGAGGTCTAGTGTCAGTTGAAAGGTAGAAAAGTAACTTGGCATTGGGTGACTTAGCTCGGGCAGGCCAAATCCTCTCTTAGGGTAAACCAAAGTTACTGAAAACATTTTAATAGAAATACCCTGCTCTACCAGTGATCTACCATCTCGCCCTTTATACAGTAAATTGTACAGTGGTGTAGCAGTGGATATGAAAAAATTCTTCCCATTACTTCTGGCAAATAGCTCCGTCTTAAACTATTTTCTGGCATTAGCAATATTCATGGTTTACTATGGGAAATGAGTCCAGTCAACATTTCAGTATTGATTACTTCTCTGGAAGCTCTTTCATGTCTTTATAGTTCGTTAGTGCTTATTTGGTTGAAGTTTAGCCTGGTTTTAAACTTCTGTTAACAATATTCCAGTTTCTAAAGCCATCCTTTTATTCAGATACATTGTAGCTCTGAAGCCAGAGAGCCTTGGGAACAGTAAAGGAGCGAGTAGGGTCTCTGAAACAGGGCAGTTTAATTTTTTTAATAATGTAAAGGACTGTAACAGCATAACAGGTAAGGAACACATTTCCTCTTGTGTGGTGCTTCTTAAAGGTTCTTTGAGAATGGTATTTTATTTTCAAAAAGCTTTAACAAATTTTTCTTAGCTTGGAAGCATTGGGGAGATATAAAAATTACTAAAAATAGTCCCTGGTCAAGCCTACAAGGGGCTGCTGGGGAAGAATCAGAGTTAACAATACTGAGTTTCATCTATGAGTAAGAAAACTATTTTCCTTACAGGACTTGCCTAAAAGAAAAAAAAAAAAAAAGGTGGGCAGCAGGAGCCCTGTGTCAGATTTTGTTATACATTTACCATGATGGACTCTAAATGAGAGCAGCTTGGGACTTTCCAACAAATAGGAGAAAAAGTAACTGTCTGTCTAAGAAAACAGTCAAAGTAGGAGTGTTATTTGAAGCTCTTCAGTGCTGTAACGTGGCAAGCCAACAAGGCACTCTCAGTGTTTGCAAGAGCTCTCCTGGCAGACCAAAGGTTTCCTGGAAAAAGCTGATGGTGTGGCACAAAGGATCACAACAATTCTACCTGCTGGCTGACAACAAAAGGAAGAAATGGAGGCTGTATCTTAACCTTCGGGCTAGTTCTAGGATATGAGGTATACAAACATCAGCACAAAATACACAAAGATGCTGCCAGAGAGGAAAGATTACTTAAAGTAGTAGTGAAAGAAAAAAACATTCTCTTGTGTCGAGACCAATGTCTCTGCTAGATGGAACATTACTTTAGATCTAAAAAACATTAATATTATTTAAAAAGAAAATTTCCTACTGACAGACATCACCTCTGACTGGAGATGTTTACGTGCTGAGGGCTGTGCCAGCCAAAGAGCCTGAAGGAACCCATTCAGAATGGCTCTTTCACTCGAGCAAGGCCAGGTAGTTGAATACTAACTTAAAAGCTGTAGGGCATTTTAGCTTTTTTTCCTGATCAAATTTAGAACTATTTTCTATCTAAAAGCAATTCCCTTGACATCTGCAGGATTAGCCAAATGGTTTACTGTGTAAAACCACTATCATTAATGATATGCTGTTTCAGGAGAGAATCCCAAAAATTTGTTTATTATAACCAAAACTTACACTGGCACTACAATGAAGTAGATTGTCATGATACAGGCAGCACAGGAAATCCTGCTTCACTGCTGTATGTTTTAGAAAATGCAATTCTTTAAATCTGAAGTTGGCTACATTTTATGGTGCTTGTATGATCTTTCAGAGTTCTTAATGTTATTTTATCTTCCAGTCATGGGTGGATATTATGCTTTAGACGTAGCTCAGGGGAAATGAAGAGGACTGTTCAGAAAGCTGAACCAACAGAAACAAGATGTCTCCAGGGTTTTTTCTGTATGGGAGACATTTATCACTGCCTCAAATGTTCGTATTTTTCATTGCTTGTAAGTGAATATTAATCTGGATTTCCCCTCTCCAGAACAGTCTTTAATTTGCTTCCCATGCAGAGACAGGCATTTCCTTGTGGGTCATATTTCAGGATGTTTGTATTTCTACATGGACTATAAGAAGGCAGTCACAATGCAGGGCAAGGACATACTGTGTTTTGCTGCAGGAGGCGATACAGGGAATATGGATATACTTAAAGGTGTATTTCTCTAAAACCTTCTTCACCATGAAGTCATTTTGCCTGTAAGTATTAACACAGGTTGTTTACCTGATCTTGGTATTATATTTTTGAAGTTATATAATAGCTTACATCTTAAAAATTTAAAGCATTTTATTTGCATTTTGACTGAAGTGTCTCATTGCATTTCAAAAGGTTTGAAGCAATCAAATCTCTTAACACCAGACATATAAAAATCTGAGAGGGTATAATCATGGAATTGGCATTATCTATTTTGAATTAGACATAACTTATTTAAAATGTTTTCTGTTGAAAAGACAGTTAAATGTAGCAGTTAAAAACTTTTTCCCAAAAAATGCAGTGAAATAGCACAACTGTAACCTCATGGGTGTTTGTCTTCTCACCTGCAAATCTTGACTTTTACTGACATCCAGAGGAGACTTTTATCCTGTCATAGGTTTTTGGAACATTGTTTTGTAATGATTGCATAGTTTGTCAGTCGAGGTGACTCTGTCAGTTACACTGAACAGAATAATACATTGCCTTTCATTGCAACCCTGGGCATGTGCCTCTACTATTGGCACTAGCAAATTTACTTTGTGTGTAGTCATTTTTAGTTTTGGAAATTGCTTTTTAGTCCTTTTTTTTTTTGTAGGCATTAGTTGAAAAACCTAGAAGTAAATTTTTATAACAGTCGATCACGGCGTTTGTACAATAAATCTTTCTCCCAAAAAGGCAAAAATTGCTAAGGTTTCCCTAAAAAAACCTCCAAATGTACAGGCAGAAATGTTCTGCAGAGACCTCCAGTGGGCCTAAGTTTTCAGAGGGTCATTCTCATTTACAGCCAGGAACAGAAGGTGTGGAAGTCTATAGCTTTAGTTAATGTGTCAGAGGTAAAATTTTGTGTGTAACCCACCCCATTTCTGAGCACTGATCCTGACAGTGCTCATTTCTGAGCACCGATCCATGTTTACTTTTGGCACCATGGGGTAAATCACTGAAGAAACAGAAGCAAAGGAAAGCCCTTAAATCTCTCAGTCCAGCCAGGGAGCTCAGCAAGAACTAGAGAACAGCACTTGCAATCCATCCCATTTTCCCAGGAGAAACTCTGCAGCTTCAATGGCACACATGGGTCTGTGTAACCTCCTTGTAGCTATAGACAGCTTCCAGCCAAGATTTGATTTTGCAAAGAATTTTAGGGTAAGAAAAAGAGAAACTTTTGAAAAGACATTGTATTAAGAATATTACAGACTTGCAAGTTATTACAATTTCCGTAGTATTATTATTGTATTTTCTGCATGGACTTCAAACTCTCTAGGCCAAGCTATGCCAGTTTTACATGGGACTCTTCACACTGGCAAAGCAGTGTCAGAACCATATGTGGATGCAGTATTCCTAGGTTACAGGTGTTGTGTCTAGCGCAAAAGAAAGGGCAAAATGAAGTTCAGATGCCAGCTCTCACCATTTCTCGGCAAATGATACCTTTGACTTATATAACTGTATAATATTTATTATTTTTTATTTTATTATTACATTATAATAAATATAGCATAGCATATAACATATAATTTAATCTACAACAAAATATTATGTGTAATAACTATTATAATTATATATATAGTTTATTAGATATTTTCCTATGGTTATTTTATATAGTTAAATCATCAATATGAAAATTAACACTTGTAAGGTATTTGCTATTTTCTCAGCAGCAACCGTGTGTGCAGTGAAATGCTGCTCAGCAGCAAGCAAAGTGAAAGGAATTAGCTTCAATATTTTTGTTCTCTTTAATATCTTGGTGGAAGAAATCATCAGGATGGCTTCTACAAATAAAAGAAATTCTGCAGGTACCAATTTTTATTTTTTTTTTACTAAGATTTGTCAGTAGTAAGGCTGAATTTGGTTTCAATCCGTTCTTGTCAATCTATACCATTCTCTTTGCCGTCCAGCTGTCAAGGATTTTGTGGCAAACAGTAGATGAAAAACAGGGGGAAATAGCATACTAGGAAATTTTGAGATCTCATCTGGACGTACACTTTGTGATCATTGTGTCCCTCTACTTCCTTCCTTAAAGGAACTGTCTTACATGCAGTGTTTCCCTTCATAGCAGGATTTTTCTTGTCCCTGAAAAAGACATTGAACTGATATTTGTTAAAAATTTTAAAATCCTTAAAAATTAACTAAGAACTGGAAGGTACAGTCAGTATCTCCAAGGCACTGGTGATGAAGCCTTGCCTCCATTTAAGACCACAAAGTTTTTCATGTTAAATTTCCCAGAAGTTATGCATATTGCCTGCTGTTCTTTACTAGAAGATCCAAACTGAGGTTACCTGTGTTCCTTTCAGTCACTGGTTTCTTAAAAAATCTTAATATACCACACATGGTTTATGTGCTTTTTACATCCTTAAAAAATTGAATGAGATTGTCACTCCTTTTGTTGTGTTAAAGTGAATTTGGATCAGAAATCCGCCAGTGATTAAAAAATGTGAATCTTAAACCATAACTGGTCACAAAGTATGAAGGATCATGAACAAATACATTTAAGTATTTTCCCCACAAGGTTTTAGCTCAAACTTTACTTGTATAACTTTTTCCTGTTGTGACATCACAACAGAATGCCATCTATGAATTGCATTAGGGGTACCTTTACTGTCTTTCAGATCACTAATTATAAAGTTAAATAAGACCAGACTCCAAATTTAAATAAAACCATTTAAAGAAGACAGAGGCTTATGATATCTTCTGAGCCTTCTACATTTTCACTATCATTTGCTTACAGTTTGGGCTGGTTGTCAGCCATAAAATTAATATCAGGGAAACAGGGCCTGGCCCTGTGTTTTATAGCCTTGATTTGTATTTCTCTTCTCTAATTGTAATATGGTTTATGGCCATCTGAGCACAGAAACCCAGCCTTCAGCAACAATTTCCAGTTCAAGCAGGTCTTCGTAAGAGATTAATTGGCAACAAATTAAGTAATGGTGCTGTTCATTTCTTTTTGATTAGGGAGAATTCAAAATACATTTTGCCCTGAAGGTGGAGTCTGCAAGCATGGATTCCTCATCAAATCACCACCTCTTCAACTTTTCAGCTCACAGGTATACCCACACAGATTAGTCATATTTCAGCAATCCTTCAACAAGCAGCCGTTATATCTGCTATCCTGAATTTTAACGACAAACAAATTGCTTTCTCTTTGGCAGAATTCCTGGAAAAGGCGTCTTTTCATCCTGTCCAAATCCAGCAAGGGGAATTACATCCTGAAGTATCTAAAAGGCCAACATGTAAAAGGCTCCATAGCTGTTGATCAGTATGTGACTCAAATGCATCACCTTTTTTATTTTAAGTCATGTATCAACACTATTCAATGGCCACTGGTTGTACAGACACTTTTTCTTGACTTAGGTTCTTGATTCAAATCTCACGGAAGTCAAGAAAAGAGTCCTGCAGGCTTTTGTAGGCTTTGGGTGCAGCTTACAGTAGGTAGAAGTAAAAATCCTCAATTGCTTTATTAAAATTTAATACATTTATGTGAGTGATCATGGTGATGTCGTATCTGCAAACCAAACATCTTGGCTCCATGACCCTAAAGGCTGTATTCCTGTAGCAGAAGATATTTTATCTCCTGTGAGGACAGTGCTATGCATTCATTCACATGTGAATAAGGACTGGCTATGCTCCTCTTACCTGTGTCACACAACCTTTCCCTACTTACAGCTTCACAAAGGTGCTTTGCAGGCTGTGCAGAGGTCTCCTGACTTTCATGTGGCCCTTTGGGCTGGTGCTGGTGCCCCACTGCCTCTTACTCCATCAAGAAATTGCTCTGCTTGGCTCGTTTGGGTTGGTCATTTCATTCCTCTCAGCATAGTGCCCGCTGCAGCAAGACTGGGTGTCACTGGCTTTGTACCAGCACCCTTTACCATGTCACAGATGGTGTGAGATACTTGGAAGTGAATCAGAAAATGCAAAGATTTTACCTGTCAGACCTGGAGCTTAATACTCTAGGCTCCTGGAATTGTTCGGCATGGAGGTCCCTGAACAACATTGCTGTTGTGCTTCTTCCGTTAAGTGGATTTACTTTGTGAAGCTTTCAAAAATATTGCAGCTTGCTCAGTGGTATGTGGTTACATTATTACCATCATTATTGTTGTTATTGTTTTTATTAACTTCTTGGAAGTTAATGGAAGTAATGCTTCAAGTATCCATTAAAAGTACTTCTGTTCCTTTTCCCCTCCATTAAAACACTATTAATATACAATTAATTTCAAATCAAATTTATTGTTTTATAGTGGTTAAAAAACTTCTTCAAGAAATTTTTCTTACTATCATTTATTTTCAAGGTTCTGTGTTAGACTAACAGCCTGCTTTTCCAGAAATGAGGATCCAAAATCCAAATCTTTGCAAAAGTTGATTTAATTCTTTTTTGCTTGGAAGTTTTCTTCACTGAAAGGCCATCAATTTTGAATATTTGTGCTTATTTTCTTGAGCTTTTTTTCTGTGGAAAAATGTTTATCTTTTCCCATGCAGATCTCATCATACTATGCTGTGCTCAGAGTAAAATATGCACGTACACACATATACGTGTGTGTGTATTTGTACATATGTATGTATAGCTATATAGGATGTTTCATATGCTTATCTTAACAGAATCTTAAGTATTGAAGTTGGCATAAGAAATTTTGAAATTATGGAAACGGTGAGGAAGATGTTTAAATGCCTTCCTGAGCAGGTGATGTCCATCAGTACTGGAAACAGATGTTACTACCTCATTGGGGACAGCAGGTAGGCATAGATGTGCAAATGCAGTATGACATTACAGTTAAGACAATGGAACACTAAGCTGCTGCCCCAAGGCAAGGTCCTGCTCCTTCACAGTCGCTCCCTTCCCTTCATGTGTCTTAGCTACATGGGATGAAATGATTCAGCTGTTTGATCCAACAGAAAACAGCTCTTTTCTATGTAATTTCCCCCCTCCCCCTGTGGCTGACTTAATTTTTTACTGGTTCAGACAGGTGAGCTAAACCTTCCCTGCAGCCACACTGTTACATCCAATACCTGAAAGTAGTGGGAACACAGGGTTGGGAGTGGGGATAGCAGTGGTGGTACATCAGTGTGGCAGCACCATTTCAAACTGTACCAGTTAAAGATCAAGAAAGAGCACAGAGACCTTTGTCTTCTCACCTAGCATATCCTGGGACTTAGAAAAGCTTCTGCTCCTTATGGATAAATTGCAGGAAATAATATTGCCTGAAGAGTAGGCTATTAATCAAGGGAAACAGATTGAAGGCAAAAGTTCTCCCAAGGGAAAACACCTCCCAGAAGTACTGACTAGGGCCTTTGCTGCAGCAGGGTGGCATGGTCTCTGCTTTCCCAGGCTGCAGTTCAGTCCTCAGCAGGGGCAGAAACTGCTTCTGTCAAGGTGATGAGCCAAAGCTCAGTTAGGCGAGGGAGGATGTTTGTCACACTGCTCCTATGCTGCTGGTTCTCAGCTTCTCCTCTTCAGGTTCCCAGTCACGAGTGTATCAGGGGGTTTTTTTGCCTTTATGTAGAAGAGCAGCTGATGTGTGAAATTCTGATAAGCACAGAAGAAAAACACATACCTGAGTGTTACTTGAGTGTGCCACCCAACACCTTCCCCCGAGGCTCTGCTCTCACACCCCTTGCTCAGTGGGAAGCATTCCAGAATTAATCCAACTAAATACACTGCAAGCATGAAACAGGGCTTCAAGGGTCCTTCCATGGCATGTTTCTCATCCTCCTCATCCAAACGCATTCCCAAGCCTTGTTAACTCTCTTTGTGGCAGGACTCAGCGGAGCAGCCTCACACACAGTAAAGAAAGCAGCAAGCACCATCCCACATCGCCATGTCTCTTGCACACAGACACACAGCCCCCCTGCAAAACTTTTAGTTCCCAACCTTGGGCTGAACCTCTCTGAGGTCAAACTTTGCCATCTGGCTATGACCACCCGAGCAGTCTCTTAAAAAAAAGGTGCAGTTATTTTTAGCCCCTTAGGAAGAAGTGTGTAGACAAATGGATTTTCCTTGTGTGTTACCTGTCAATAAGTTTTCATTTCTTATGTTCCAACCTACAGGCAGGAAACAGAGGACTGGGTGACTCTGATATCTTCAGTCTGCAGGGAGGACAAACAAGGTGGATGCTGCCCTCAGGTGACATTTTACTGTACTTGATTTTAGGGAAAAAAAGGATGTTTCTATTTCCATTAGAAAACTGCAAAGGAATTTACCTGATTTTTGCCCTGAAACTTGGCTCTGGCCTTGATTATTCAGAATTTTCATTCATTCATTTTCCGTATAAATCCTGTACCCTGGCCTTGTGCATTAAGCAGATATTGCACAGTCTGTCTGTGCTGGGATTGATTTTACATTGAAGGAATCTCTTTGAAGAGTAAGCCATATGGAAATTAGGAGATGATTGATATTACGCTTCAATGAACTGCACCTTTAATGCATTAGAGTGAAAACTTGTGTGTTATCCTCACCCTGTGTATTTTTGTTATATTTACGTGTTGTTTTACAAACCAAACCATATCTAGTCTGCCAATGTTATGAACCAGCTGGAAGCCTTGTTAGTTCAGTCTCAGGCCCAAGTTTTTGCACCTTTTCAGCCAGCCAGGCCTACCAGTTCAGACTTGGCACAAAGTTACTAACATCCCTGCAGCTTCCAGTCAGCTCAAAGTACCGGCAGGGCAAATTTATGTCTCTCTTAAAAATGCAATGTAGACAATTTCTCTAAGCCCTTAGAAGTAAAATGTGTACTAGTAGGATGTGTTGGTATGTTGTAGACCACACCTATCAGGTGCCTGTTTTCTTAGACTGCTGTTACCTTATTTCTAGAACCAAGATCTTCCAAATCCGGGAGTCAGAAGCCGGCCCTCCTCTTTGCCACTATTCTTAAATTCCATAGATATGACCAGTTTCACAGAAAGGCAAAGCTGCCAGAAGGTAAACAGATTAGCCATCCTTAATAATAAGTCTGTGCCTAGGGATGACTGTGAAATTTCATTTTTATGGTTGCTTTTTTACATCAAAAGTTCTTCAGATCTTCTGCAATGCATACCTGGGTGGTCTGTTCTGCTTTCTGGTGGGGGTTCCTGAGTAAGACCTGGGTGATAACATCAGAGGGTCCCCACGAAGGAAATTCTTTTGAGTAATATCTGCATGTAAGTAAAGGCAATGAGAAATTATATTCATTGGTTGTCTAAACTGACTGGCAAAGATTACGGGGCGTGAAGTAAGCCTCTGAAGATTTACTTTGACACACCTTGTCATGGCAAAGGCATGTGATGATTGTCTTGGCAACTTCTAGCCACATTCCTTCTGTTTTGTAATTGTGCTTTTCTTTGTCTCTCTCATTCCAGGCTTAGAGGGGAGTTCAGGTCCAGTTCCTCTGTGCCTTACAGATTTTTCCCTCAGTATTAAAATAGAAAGGAAGGAAAGTGCTGCTGCTGTTCTCAAGCAATTGCAGTCCCCATCCCCTGGTAACAGGGTGATGTAGCAGCCAAGGAATTGTTGGGTTTCTGTAGTCACAAAGCTGTGTGTAAATGGACCAGCTAGAGGAAGATGAATGCGGGTGAAGCACCTCCACTGTGTCTTTATGAGGAATCAACTTTTTTCTTTGGTATTCAGGAGAACGGTTGCTCAGAGGACAAGAACAGGCCTTATTCAGATCCTGGCCCTCATCAGGCTCAGTGTGACTCACCAAGAGGAGTGTTTCCCAGCCTGGTGAGCAGAAAAAAATCAAACAGCTCTTGTCTTGTTCAGTCTGCAGAAGTGATTACTGGCTTTTATCTCACCTGGGTATCTGTGACTATAGATTATCCACCTGCTTTCCCAGCACATTGAGTTGGTTTTCATTATGAAATTGCCTAGATATTTAGTCTGTTTTCTTGTTTAGCACTGAAAATAATCTTCTAAGAACTTGCTTGAAATACCCTGTTTGGTTTTGGAGGCAGATCCTCAGAGTTTCTGTGCAGCAACTGCAACTTTTGGCAGCTCTTACAAACTTGAAGAAAACTCAAAAGTTGCACTGACTGAGGATTTGACTCTACCACCACATTTCTCAGTTGCACCACAGTTGCTCCTAAATGGTTTATTTCTTCAGCCTTTGCCAGAAGCAATTGAGTCAATGTAACTGAACTACAAAACAAGGGCTTGCTAAATTGAGGCACACCTCAGAACTGACCTTCCTCAGCATAAATATGACTTCAAGTAATTTCACTTCCATATTTGGCAGGAATGTTTGGAAAGATAAAATATGAATGTTATCATGTATTATTGGCTAAATGTTTTGACCTGTGTTCCCTGAACAAGCGCCTGCAGCAGTTTTCCTCTGCCGTGGATTACTGCCTTTGCAGCAGAGCCAAGAGGACAGAAGGCACAACGAAGACTTATCACACCAGTTTGCAGTTTAAACCCATCTTTTATTGACAGTTTATGCACTAGACTATGATCTGGAGTAGCTAAGATACAGGGCAAAGACTCCGTTCTGCTATCACAGCTAACAGGGTGGTAAATCACACTGAAATCACCACCCTTGTATATAGGCTGACAGCAATATGTATGAGATAATACAGCTAAATTTAGTGCAAAGAAGTGAAAATAGCTGAAACTACATTGCCATGCCATGGCAGTCAGCATAGCTCAGCTGATGCACAGTACTTTATAAAGCTGCAGTAATTCAGTTGTGATTCTGAGCTCTGAAATGCATTGAGTTAATCCTTGGTCTGATTTTAACTAGTTCTTCTCCAGGTGCATACCAAGGGGCTCTTTGTGTCTCTTTCTTATGCATGCCTTTTCTGTCTTATTCATTAATTCTTCTCATACTTACGATGCCTGAGATGGCATATATTATTTGCAGCTGTTCTGACTAAGACAGATTGACCATGACGGTTCAAAAAAGGAATTTGGATTTTACCTTTCTGGCCTAAGCAGAGGGAATAGCAGGAAGCTCATATTTCTGTTTTGGCATGTGTGAAAATAAATAACCTTGTTGTACAGAGAACAAGAAACAAAAATATTTGTTCATTCGATAAAAATATTCCACTTGCCTCATAAGTTTAGCATCTGCTAACATCTCCAGACCTATTCTCTGCTCAGTGACATCAAGACAACTGACTTCCTGATTAATCCCTTGTATTTACTTCCTTTTAGAAGTATGACTTCCCATTCCAAACATCTGTATTTGTATCTGATGTATTTTGCTGTTTATCGGTGGTTCCCTCATCCAGGCCCAGATCTCGAGGACACTTTGTTCAGTAGTCGTTACTCATGCAAATGTGCCTCTCCATGTCAGTGAGTCTAGTCCTGCTGGCAGGGACCCTGGAGAGGTCTGGGGACCTGGCTCCTTTTCAACCCACACTTTGAAGCTACCAAACCACATCTGACTCAGCAATTCAGCTTCAGCTGTTTTGATACACACCTTTCAATATCTAAAATACATCAAAATAAAGAGCCCTGACTTACACCACCCTGTACCTAGGCACCCCTGTTGGGATCTGTTACACATATCTGATTTTCTGAAAGAGAGGTTCCTCTGTCTAAGGGCAATACATAACTTTCCCTAAGGAGCTTATAGGTAACAATTACTCAGTTGTTCTCCAGGTATCATTTCCACCCTGTGCTACAGCCAATTTTCTCTACAGTGTACTTTCTCTCTAATGTAAATCCATATTATGGTTCAACAGACACTTAAAGGACTTGTCTAGCTGTTCAGCTGAGAAAAACTGTACACTGAGGCTGACTGCACTGCCCTGCTGGTAAGAGACCTGGAGGAACGGAGATGTTGATGAACTGCTTTAGGGAAGCACAGGACTGCTGCAGTGTATCCTTCTTCTTCCCATTATCCCTGTAATCTGTGATGGTGCCAAGGAGAAACACTATGCAGTTGGCAAAAGATAGCCACTGTCAGTGACTGAAAGCTCAGTTTGGAAAGCTGATGAGTGCTGTCTGCTCTTTGAGATTTCTTAGGAATTGGAGAATCTCAAGACTTAATAAAATCATTTTCTCTTCTCCTTCTCCCCAAATGTTTACTTGCTTGATTGATCCAAAGCCCCTAAAAAGACACTAGGAAACTCATTCATGACTTCAGATCATGACCACAGAGCCAGTCTTGTTTCTGCTGTGGTTTTGTTCTGCACTTCTTGAAGGACCATTTGGAGGTTTGTTCTGACTCCTGCTGCGTGAGTTGCTTTTAATGTCATTCATACCAACACGGGAAAAAATACATTAATCATCCTTAATTTATATTCAATGCCAGTTTCTTCTCTTTATATGTAAGAAAGTAATTAGTTTAATTTACTTTTCCTTGAAAACAGTAATATATTCATGGCATATTTAGCAATTATTAAAACGATCACCATGGAAACCACAGATGTAAGTGTAGAGATAAAAAACAGTTGCATCACAAACATGGCATAGAGAATTGCATTGGGAGGCAGCTAAATACTAATTACCATACTCTTCACTATAGTTGAAGTCAACAAGGAGACATAAAAATAAATAATTTATCTTTGTGACTTAGAAAGGTAAACTTGATGAAGGGACTAACTTCTCCTTGACTTACCAAATTGCCTCAAACTTAATGTTTCTGGTATTTATGAAGACAGAATATCACTCAGGATACAAAGTGTTCAGTGTCAGATCTCCAGTCTTTTGGGCATCTTCTTGTTCATAGAGCAGTATGAGATAATAGATTTCTCATTAGTCAGGGAAATCCCAAATTCATTCTTGATAGCAGTTAAAAGCTGCTTACAAAGGACAAATATACCTCAATCAACTCCTAGATTTCCTACAGATTTTTTTCCTAGTGTAAGGACTGAATTGCAAATAAAAAATCTTTTCCATACAAGTGACCATAAATTCATCCAGATTCATACATGAAGTGTTTAACCCACTTCATTTTTAAACAAAATAACAGGCTGTGATCATGCAATCAGTTGCAACTGCCTGGTTACCACAAATCCATCTCTGAGAAGTATTAATACAAGTGACCAGTTTTGTCTGTGTGCATTGAATTTCAAAAATACAGGAAGGAGCACAAATATAGAAACCTTGTTTCTAAAACAGGCTTTCTCTGAGCATATCTTACTTCAAGAAGAAACATGTCTTCCTGTGTTTTCTGTGAATATGTGCTGATTCTATTACTTCTCCATGTAAATGGAAAAATACATGTTAATCTGTATAACTGATCCCTTTAAACACAAAACCATTCTTTTAGCAGGATAAAATTCTGGGAAGAAGTGAGGAAAATCTGCTGCCATCAGATACAGATGAAAACATCCAAAAGGATGAAGAAGATTATTACCAAACTCCCAGCAATATTTTAGCACAGGTAGTTTATCAGTTGTGAGTTCTGCTGGTTTGTTAACAGCTCCAAGGACACAGGAGACATTTAATGAGCCAAAGAGGAACTGGTATGAGGAAGCCCTTGTACCTTGCAAAAGGAATACATAGATAAAGCAGTAGGTAATAGAGCTTTCATTTATACAAGAAAAAATACACTAGACTCATTCAAAGGATCTTTCTGGTAGAAAGTGGCATTTTGACAAAAACATTGCTGATTTTGTTGAAAGTCCCCAAATTGACTGTTTCATTGTAAATGGCTTTTGACTATTGTATAACAGGGTGGGTGTTTTTTTTTTTTTTCCAAAAGTGAAAACTTCATTTAGAGAATATAACAGTGCATTAGTTTTATATATTTTAAAATATAATTCTGTTGAAGCATCAGTAAGCTTCATAAAATGAAGCAGTACATTTAAAACGCTGTGGTACGTTTTAGTATCTACATTTCACTGTGAAACAAGGGAGCAGAAAAAATCATTCTGGTAACTTTAAACAAATTTTGACAGCTAATTTGGGAGGCTAGTTCCTCTAAGTTTCCCATGTACTTAGTGGTCAAGAGACGCTAAGTGGTCAGTTTTCTGCAGAAGTCCCAGAGTCTCTCCCAAGACTGTACATCTGACTGAATAACATTACTAATATGATTTTGTTATGTAATCTAAGTGCTCTAAGTTAAGCACACACAAAGTACAAGTCTCTTTTTTCAGTCTGTTTACATTGAAATGTAACTTTTTTTGGGGGGGGGCGTAGTACTTTAGAATATAGCTGGTTACATCCTAGTCTGACTGTTAATAATACCACCATTAACTTGTAACTTTCAAATACCTTTGACTTATTTGGGGAAAGCCAATCTATATTAGCCGATGTGTTTAAACAGCACAAGCACTAAACAAACTAAGGAAATTAAGATTTTTTTTTTTCTGTAGGCAGAGCAATAATATTAACATCTCATGTTGTTATGTGTTTCTGACAGTGCGCTGCTGAAGTATCAAAGCCTGACCTTACAGCTGGAACTGATGTCTCTGTGCAAGAGAAACCAGTGCAAAACAACCCAGTAAAGGAGAACATTTATATGTCAATGAAATCACTGTAAGTAACAACTTCATTAAGGTTTGCAAATTAGGTGACATTTTAGGACAGATAGAGCTGACATCTGTGGTATTAAGATAACAAGGTCTAGATGCTGCATCTTGTTTGAATGAGTCCTTGTTTGGTCTTGGTTCAGATAATTCAGAACTCAGAGGAGTACTGGAGTACTCATCAAAAAGAAATTTAAGCTCACATTGCAAACTCATGCATTTAGACAGGCTCTCACTATAGGATGCAGTACTTTTTGTTGATTCATACTTTTTCTAGGTTTTCATGACCCAACAGTCCACCACTTTACTGAGACACTGCAGCCAACTTCCAACAACCTTTCGGACAGGTACTCTCCAAGCAGGCAGTGGTTAAAAGAGAAAAGTAGAGATGGGGCATTAGCTCCTTACTTTTCCATTAAGAAGTTATGTGAGTTCAGTCATCTCCTTCCTCACATTTGCCACTGAAAGAAGGGATTTGATGCTGTGTATTTTGAAGCTACAGTGTTTGGCACATCACAAAAAAAGACCTAAACTTTGTGTCACAGTATTAGTGCCACAAGGAAACTTTACAACCTCCACAATACAGCAATGAATACTAAAGAGAAGTGTGCCTACACAGTAAGGCCACACGTCCTGAGCCAGAGAACTGGTCAGTATCTCTTGGCTATGGCCTACCATCTAAAGACAGTCAGATCTTATGCCATATCATGGGAGGAAACTGGAAATGCAAACCCACTAACTAGTTTATTCCAACAGATTTATTCAAGCTTGTCTGTGTCTTTGGGAGCCCCCAGAGGGCATTACTATAAAATTATGTCATCCGAGTTAAAACATACCAAGAACAGCTTTTGGTACTATCCCCAGTCTTGTTTGGGGCATGGTGTGAAGTCAGCTCCAGGCATTATAAGGCTCATCAAAAAAAGCTAAAATGAGTTCAAGCATGTCTGAGTTATTGTATCTCCCAGGGGACAGCTTTACATCCCTGCAGAACCCACTACAGCCAAGGCCGACAATCTATACTCAGTTTCTTTGTCAAGGCATGCTGTTAGCTGGGATGTTTTCAGGCATAATAAATGGTTTTTATATATTGGCAAGGTTTATTTTGAGATTTATGGTCTGTTTTTAGAAGGACCGTTTATTTTACTTAGCTTTAATTCTGTCCACTGGATATTCTACAAGAACTTGTTATTCTTTGCTTTACTGATGACTGTTTGATCCAGCTTCAAACACCATAAGAGTCCCTGGAATGGTCAAACCACTTAATTTTTTATCATCATTTCTCTTCAGTAGGTTGCTGGATGAGAGATGCCAGCTCACGTGCAGACGTGATAGGCTCCCATCTCCTCCCAAATGCCAGGACAGCAGTGCATGTCCAAGAGACTTGGAAGCAAACAGAGACATAGGATTCCCAGAAAGCAGCACCAGCCCGCAGCCAACCCTCCAGAGAAGGCAAAATTCATTACCACTTTCAGTGGTTCAGTTGTCTATACTGCTCAGGTAAGTGTCTTCTTCATTTTGTTGCAGAGAAGACAGACGTGTCCATGGGTTTCAGCTGAGGTGCCAGTAGAGTGTGTGAAGCCTGTCAGCATTCAAGAGGCATCTGGATGATGCTTTTAGTCATATCATTTAATTTTATGTAGTCTGCAAGGAGTAGAGAGTTGAGCTCAATAATCCTTATGGGTCCCCCTTGAGATATTCTATAATTCTATGGTCTCTGGTGTTTTCTCTCACAGTCAAGTTACAGATGAGACCCAGCTGCAGAAGTTGGATATTTTTCTACCCCTGGCTGATATTAACAGTTACCTAAAATTTACTGAAGCAGCAGGACGAATATGGTAAGTCTGAATGTCTTGTGACAGTGCCTGTCAGATCTGAATAAGTGACAGTCAGGTACAGAAGTGTACAAGTATAGACATCCATGTACAGTTATGGAACTGCAGAACAGAGCAAGGTTAGTGCATGATGGTACTTGAGTGATTCCTTTCTGCTCTTTCTAACTCTTCATGTTCTTGAGTTTCTATTTCAACTGCTGTTGGAGAGGGCTCTATGGAATCAAGATCCCTTATCATACTGTGTAATATTTAGCGATAAAGTCCCACCACAAAAGCTATTCTTCTAATGTTGGTGTGAAATCACTTAATTACTGCTAGTTACTTTTACCTCTGAACCACAATGATGCTGTGTCTCAGAGATAAAGTGAGGGGATATAGCTGAGGTAGGGTAAAGACAGCCTCAAGCTGACTCGAGTTGGATGTGAGCAGAGAATTATCTCTGAATTAATCGCAGCAGTGGTTTGGTGCTAGGCAGGGATGTTATGGGCTATAGCATATGCATCCTCTTAGTAGTCTCACTGAAATTTAGTGTTCTCCCTAGACCTTCTATATCAGTGACTAGGATAAAGAGGATGGAGCAGAAAAAATGCTCAATGCATATTCCTGTCCTTCTTGTTCATCTTTCACTGTCACACAGGACTGAGAATGCTTCTTTTGCTACTGCTCTCATATTCACACCAATCAAGTGCACTGCATAGCAAGTCACTTCGTTTCAGTCACTGTCAGCAAGAAGAAAAAATACTATTGCAAAAGGGTCTGAAAATAACCTCAATAACTGAACTTACATCTAAATCTACACAGCCTTCTCAGCGGAAATTCATGTTTAAAGAACTGCGAGCTTGTTCTGGAAGGGAATAGAGCACCATGTCTGACTGTCAGGTCAACTAATCCTAAATAGCTTGTCATCAAGGATAGTCTGTCAGAGACCAGCAGGCAAAAGATCCTGGAATTTCCATAAGGGTCCCATCTGGACAGCAATGGATCCCTGATCCTGGCAGTTATAACATAGATAAAACAGATGATAATAGTTTTAATTTTATTCTCTTGGGATGACTTCAGAAATCATATCAGTCCAACATCAGGCTAAAACATCTACAGCAAATCTGGGCCACTGCTTTTAGACTGGAATCCCCAACTTTGGTGAGCTTGCTAGCACCAGTCTCACTTGTAACATGCTGCAGTGTCAGTGTCATGTGCTCTTTTAGGAGGATGCCCTTTGGATGGATGAAGCAGCTTAGTTTCAGCTAGAACCAGATCAAAAAGTTGCAAAGTCATTCCACCTGTATGTTATTTCCAGAGGGCAGTACCATAAATGCAATCCTGTTCAGCCATTACCATCTGTGAGCAGTGACTGGATATCCTGACTGTTTCCTTTCTTGCTACCCTCCACATACCACAGCATTTCACACTGGACTGGTCCTCACAGACTGGGATGTTTGTTTAACCACGGAGATCATGTAGTGGCTGTGAATGATCTGCAACCCCAGGGTGTGGAAGAGGCTTACTTCTTCATCAGCAGGTCCACAAGAAAGGAGGTAAGCTTGACTAACCTGAAGGTAATAGTCAGAGGTATCATGGCAAATGAGAAAGCAATTTCCTTTTTGCATTTCAAGAGGCTCTATTCAAACCAGTTTACTCTGGTTTAAGTTTGGCATGAATAACTTCAGCACCAAACAGCTCCTCGGCATCATTCTGATGTGGCAACTCTTATCCCTGGGCTATATGGGGAATGCAAGTCAGCACAGTGGTGTTGGAGGACTTGATCTAGAAGAGCTTGAGCAACTCAAAGAGATTCTACTGGGCAACCATAAATTAGTTACCCAGTATGTTTTGGCCAAGGCCTAGGAATTGCAAACTTTGGGAAATAAACAATTGCCTCTGGTCGATGTATAGTTGCTTATAGTGGTTTTGGGTATTGAGGGCAGAGCCTTAGACTCCTACCTCCTATTGCTTATCAAGTGCTATGCATCTCCCTGTGTGATACCATGTTTTTTGAAGAAAGTGGGAGATTTCTAAGAGGTTCCTTAACTCCACTGTGATCTACTACATGTGTTTCTGACAGGTGGACTCCTATTTCAGTATAAAGGTTCATGACCCATACCTGAACACATTCATATTTGAATTTTGCGGAGAAGGTTGAGGTCATCAGAGGCTGTTTCCATCTAAAGAAAAAAAAGCCAGTCTCAGCAAGGAAAAAAGTACTCATCTCTCTTAGTAGGAAATTTCTATTTAACTAGTTAAAATACAAGTCAGATACACAGATGCACAAATGTTGATCAGATAAAACAAGCTACAAAAATGTCCCTTTCTTTTCTCTTTTTTAAGGTGAAACTTACTGTATGTAGGATTCCACAGTCAGATATCTTCCATGCTAAAGGCTGCTCATGTTCCTGAAAAAAAAAGACCTCAGTGATTAAGTAAGTACCAAAGCTCAGGCAAAAGATCAGGGAGAAGAATGTGTTACACAGTGTATGGAGATAACCTTTACCTTCTTGAGCTTCCAGGCATCTTTTGTTGCTGAAGTAAAAAGAACAGAGAATGTCGATTTCATTTTATGTCCTAATAACTTATTTTTTGGCATGAATGGCATGTATTTGGCTTCTATTTCATGTTGGCATGTGTTTCTGCATCTGTTTACATGAAAAAAAAAAGAGAGGGTCAAATAATTTACATGACCTTTGCGCTGTGTGTACTTTGCATTTCAGCAGAAAGTACTGGTTCATGCCTGGCCTCATCTCTTTACACTGAGTTACATTGACTTATACTGAACTCCTAGTCAGTTAGGGGTGTGGAAACACCAGGCATTTGGGAGAAAGCCATGTTTTTCCTAGATTCCCTTTAGCCACAGAAAGGCACAAGGAAGCTGAGAGCTGTAGTTTTGGAGGGAAGGCTGGTGTTGTGTAGTGATTCAGTGGGGCCTCCTTTCGTGTTATGCCACTCTTATGTTACAATCACACGAATACATTCAAGGGATGACAGGAAACAGAGCTGGTTAGAGAAAAGGAATGTGCCTGGAGCACCTTTAGGTTCCAAATTGGCACCCAAAATAAGCCCTAAGTGAAAAATGAATTAACGGATTTGGGAGAGAGAAGGGCTGCCCTGCTCTTTGAAAGTATTGCTGGTAAAGACAGCTGGGAAAACCAGAGAGAGAAGTCATGTATCCAAAGGCATGTGCTCTCAGCCCAATGCAAACGAGTTCACTGAAATTGTTTTGGTGCTGCCTAGTACTGCCACAGGGATGCCAGTGGCACCGCAGATTTCCAGAGCAAAGTACTCATTTGTTTCCCAAACAAAGATATTTCATGTAAATATTTTTTTTTGTGGCTATGTCCTCCTTCCATTGCTACCACAGGAACAAGAACAATTTTCAGGTAATATCACATCAAAAGAAACCAGATAAGCAGGGGTGTCTTTGGTGGATGCTAAAAGGGAGTTTTGTCCTGTCTTACAGTGACCTCTGTTGCTTACAGAGCCATGGTGTGACATGGCCTGTATGTATGACACATACCTGTGCTCTGTATGAACACGTACACATTGGCATATCCATGTTTGTGTGGGCTCTATTTACACACATATATATTGCTGTAAAATAGGTCGTGTTGATACACAATAGTGTGGCAACAAACGGAATCACTGGGTTTGAGTACAGATAATTTTATCTTGCCAGATACAACCAAAATAACTCCTGGGTTTAGCAGGCACGGGATTATTGATATTAAGAGATTTATATAAGCTTTGACTAAGGTGGATTTGGCTCAAAGGCAGTATTTGTCCAGCTTCCAATTGAATTAGGCCAAGTCAGCTACTACAGTAAGAAATTACACTCACTAAAAATCAGCATTGGTGCCACTTACTGCAGTAGTAAATTTGACAAATGTGCTTTGTCTATCCAGTCTGGACTTTTAAAAAAATCGTTAGACAATTTTATTTAGCTGAAGATGAAAAGTGTCAAGTAACTCAAAACGAGCAAACACAAACATATATACAATCTGTTCAGACTCAGCTCCTGTTCAAAAGATTAATTTCCAGACTGAATGTTTTCACAGCCTGTGTCTTCTGCTTTTGAGATAAGAGTGTTCAGGACATGCTTGTTTCTCAAGGTGGGAAAGGATCATGTTTTGATATTTCTGTTTCAGTTCAAAGGCCTGTTTGTGCTGAATTCTGAATAAAGGCAGAGGGAAACCCCAGTTCTGGAGCTACAGAGGCTGAAAATGGAAGAAGAGACATGGAGGAAGAAGGAGTTCTTCTCCAAAGCTGCTATGGGACTCCTTTGCTCTGCACTGCTTCTTTGAGTACAGCAAATCCATTTCTGCCTAAGGAATCTCTGAAGGATTGGAGGGCTGGCTATCATTATACAGGGCTTCTTCCAGCTCTGTAACTGTGTCAGCCTGCTAGGACAGTCGTCATGGCCTGAACCCTAAAATCACAGATCGTCTAGTTCAAGAGTATTCACCAGGACGTCATCCTCAGTCTTTCCTGGCCAAGATTTGCCTAAGTTCTTCTTCTGAACTTTAGAAAAGGAAAGTCCAAACCTTCTTGTGTTGTTCCAAGACTCATCTCTCTAAAATTAGGAAGTTTTTTCTACTGTTTATCCTAGACATTTTTTTCAGAAAGTTAACCTGATTTTTCTTGCCTTGTTTTCAGTGGGCATGGGGAATATTTGGATTTCCCCTCTCTCCAGAGGAATCTTCACTGTGGAAGGTGTTTTTTTTCTGCCTGTTCTCCCTACTCTTTTTCTTAGTATCCTGCAGTCTTTCATCATTTTTTCAAACAGTTTCTGCAAGTGGTCATATGTCACTGAACTGCGAGACAAATACCTTGTGTTTCCAGTTATAGATGAACAAAGGAGGTGAGAAATTGAAATTCAAAGAATTTCTTCAAAAAGAAATTCAAAGCCATGGAGCAATTTTCTAGAACTTCACAGGAAAACATTTCCAAAAAGAGGTGAACTAGTGAAGAAGCTCCCGTGTGGTGGTGGGAGAAGAGCCCCTCCATATAACCTGCAAGAGGCATTGCTGTTGAAGCAGTTGAGCACTGCATGGTGCACCTGTCAGCTATGGAAAAATGTTGCTTTTGGACAAAAATAGGATTTGGGTAGTTAAGTCCAGAATATTTCAGAAAACCTGGGGGGATTACTTCTGTACTTCAGTAAACAGTTACTGATGTGTTACTCCATAATTGATCGATATGTCAGCTTGCACAATGCTAAATGCAGATAATTAATGTCACATGTTGGCTGATTCCTAACACTTACAGAGATACAATATGGAAATGACATTGGTACAGTAAATTCTGGTAGAGTGTATGAAGTTGTATGCCCACATATGATTAATAAATATGTTAACACTTAGAACACATTGTAGGCTGCAAAATACCTCGCTTTCTCCTAACACAGCCCCTCTTTGTCCTCCAAAGACCACCTGTAACTTCCCAATAACCTGAAGCTGAGTCACTAAACAGCCCTTTTTAAAAAAGCTACACTTAAAAAAAGATCAACCTCATTCTGGAACACTTTTTGCAATGCGAAAATTTAGCAAATTCTGCTAAATCTCTTGGCTGCTTCTAGAATCAACAGCAAAGGGAAATGATTTCATGCATGGTACTACCCAGTGCTCACTTTTAGTCCTGAAACACCTGAAGGGAATGTCTTTAAACCCATGCCATCTGAGGGGTAACTGGTCATTTTTTAGATCACCTATAGGTATTGGAAATATGCTGTGTAAACACACACTCCTAAAGGAATAGGTGCTATCGTAACTTCTTGGTGCATCAAGAAGCTGCTTGTTCTGTGGTGTCAAAATCATTTCTTATCTGGTCTCCAGGTAAGTTTTGGATTATTCAGGATTTCTGAACACTAATGTTAAAATTGGCACGAGATGAAATTCAGTGAGTCCACAGATTAACAAGTCTATGTAAAACAGCAGCAGCATCTGCAAACTGGGTGTATGAGAGACAAAACCCAACCAAATGCAACAGAGATTATGTGATTAGTTAGCAATTAACATGCTCCTCACTAACTACTTTATTTCCTCTCACTGAATACAGCTAGTGCCTTTAGGTTGTTTCCCTGCTTGTTAATTTGTGGCACATTCCCATGCTGCACTCACTGTATACTGTCTGCTCATATTGCCCCCTGAATTCCCAAATATGAGTCATACTCTTTCCACCACTCTAGCAGGAAGATGGCAATTGCCCAGGAGAAAAGCAAGTCCTGGAACTGAGAAAGGGTAATGGTGAGAGAAGTCTCCATACGAGTGAAGTCATTGAAGTTAAGAAAAATAAAAAGCCCATTGAACAGCAAGAACAAACCAGCCCCCACAGCCCCCACACTTCCTCTCAAGGGCGACACTGAGCCAGAGACAAGCTCTGCGTAATGCAGTGCCTGGCTTATTTAGAGCCCCCCTAGCCTGGGGGATTGAGGGGATATCTAAATATCTAATAGGGATATCTAAATAAATATCTATGTATTTAACAGAGATATCTAAATATCTAAATGCCTCAGTGGGGCTGGAATTTTTGCAAATGGAATCAAAGAGGAGCGGCTGCATTAAAGGAGAGAGATGTCAGCCTGCACACTGGGGAGAGAGTGGATCAGTGGTGAGCTGGAGACACCAGGTGCTTAATCTATGTTTTGCCCCAGATTTTCTGGTCGCCTCAGGAGAGCCATTTCCTTGCACACACAGTAAAATTCAAGAAGTAATTTCAGACACATTTGCATCATGCTGTCTCTTACCATGAACGTGATCTCCAGCATCACATTCAATACTATGAATTGCTTTAGCTCTGAGAACATGGCTGGAAAAGCCTCCATCAGACCTGTACATTACAGGCAAAAGGGCTGGTTCAGGAGTGCTCCGTGCTATGGGGAGATGCTGATGTGCCCATTCCATGCTGAGGAAGAAGCCATCCTTAATATCCTGTAGAAACTGGCTTGCCCTGAGTTGCCCTTCAGACTGCTCCATCATGAAGCAACATTGGGTGATGTTCCCACTTCCCTGCAAGGAACTGGCTCACCTCATCTGTGTGCTGCTTATGGAGAGCTGCATCCAGCAGGGTCTATGGAAATCTCATTCAAATGGATTCATCCAGTACTTCAGGCCCATTAAGGGACATACTAATAGTTACAAGGGTGCTTCCTCACAGCAGGGGCTAGAGAGTGCACTGAATCCTCAGCAGAAAGCCTTAACCACAGGACTGTCTACCTTTGGGTCTATGCAGCTGACAAGGTAATGTGACATGCTTTAAGAGCTTTTTTGGTTTATTTCCCAGGGATGAACAGTAGTTCCATATATGTGCCTTGCTGTAGCCAGCACTTCCCTTCCTGCAGGCTGGTCAGCAAGTCACTGCAAGGAACTTGGAGTGTGCCAGGCAGTTCCTAGAAATGCCACTGGAAT